TCGAAAATGGAATCTTTCAGAAATTCTTCTGCGTGAGAGTACAATCGAGACAACAGATCAAGTCGCATCATCCACCATGATCGATTCAGCCAATAACGGCTACGAAGCCGATGGTGAAGGTAAATAGAATCATCTATTTCACAAAGAAATAATCATTCCTGATACAATTTTTCAAAAAACAAAACCAGTCTGATCAAATAGTTATGAAGCCTGCTTCAATTCTTTCAAGTAAAATAAAAATGTAATGAACACTGAAAACCAAAACGAAAAAAACATTGAGATATCGAAAACCGAAGAAAAAAAATTCACAAACAATATAGGAATAATCAATCCTGATACAATTTTTTTAAAAACAAAACCAGTTTGATCAAAATAGTTATGAAGCCTGCTCCAATTCTTTTAAGCCAAATAAAAATGTAATGGGCACTGAAAACCAAAACAAAAAATATTAAGAGATTCAAAGCATTAAAGCATTTTTCGAAAATAAAATAAATAGAGATTAATTAAGGATTTATTTCCAATACAAGATGATGATAAATAAGAATTCAAGAAAAAAATGTAAGTTTTAGTTATGAAATAAAAAATAAAAATGTCTGAAAAACAACTATCCAATTTCTCTGTATTTATTTCCAATACAATAAATGTTCAGAAAAACTTGAAAATATAACTGCAATCTTCCGAAACCGGATAGAAAAAATTAAACCACTTGATCCTCTCGATAAAATACGCCGTCAAACAAAAAACTATATTCATCAATTGATTTCAAATGCTATTCAATCAATAAAAAAAGCAATAAAATGATTTAATTTCATGTAATCATGTACGTTTCTGAGTCTTATTTTTCCAAACGTTGTGCGATTGGCCTGCTCCAAACACTCACCCTTAAAAAATGACCCGCTCCAAGTTCTATTTTCACATTCCTTAATTGCAAACAGATTTTATGTTGGTTTTCTTGAACATTATGCTGAAAAAACGTACACAAATTCTTTTTGCATTTCGAAAATATGAAAATACAATTTGAAGCAGGTCAGTTTCTAAAAAGCACGTTTCTGGTCTGAAGCACAGTTTTCAGAAAAATATCAACCAAATACACCATTAAACAAAAAGCGATATTGATTAGTTGATCTCATGTGCTATTCAAAAGTTTTAAACATTTTCGTCTCATACGTTGTGCAATATTTCAGTGGCCTGCTCCATACATTACCTTTAGAAAAATGCTAGGAGGATTTAACTACGTGAAAACTTGTAAAAAAATGATATAAACGCGCACGAAATTGTTACATTCACCAGAGAACTTGCATGATTCCACTCAGTTGGCAAGTTCCGTATTAAAACAACATGCGCGAACTTGTGCGAGTTCGTGCGCAAACATGAAGCTGGACGACGCGAGTTAACGTATCACAATAAAAAATCAAAATTTAATTAACTTTGTACCTAAATTGGATATGGTCGATGAAATATAATTTAAAACAAAAATTAAATTACAATTTAGTAACGGTTGAAGAAATATATTTCAATCATATATTTAATACCTAAATTGCATCTATAATTAGAATAATGATGAAATGTAATTTAATTTAAGATTCACACCGAAATGCACGATAGTATATATATACAATGTAATCACGGTTAGAGTGGACTTATTACACGTTTTATTTCAATAAAAATGCACATAGTGCACAAAGAAAGGTGTTTCATTTGTCTCAAAATAAATTCGAAACTATACGTTTCTTAACTGGGGGCTCAACAGGGAAATCACTAAACGATAAATTTTTTAAAAAAAGTACATAAATATCTAGGGGAATTTAACTCTTACGAGTTCAGCATGTTTTCTGCCAGTTTGCTTGATTCGCGGAAGTTCGACGCGTTCGTTGTACGTACTGACGCGCACGGTCACAAGTTTACACAAGTTTGTTTATGGTTTTGCGCGTTTTTCAAGTTGTTATTTGACAGCTAAAACGCGTTTCAAACTAAAAATCGGTTGTTTACGTGTGTAAAGATTTTTCACATCCTTTCCAAAAGTTCAAATATTTACATAATTATAAAATGGACAAAGGAAATATTTTTAAAGAGCTGGAGAAAGTGTTGGAAGAAAAAATTAATCCAGATATAATAAAAATACTCTTGAAATGTGGTTTTGATTGTAAACTAGCTGTTTCCAGTCTTGACAAAGAAAGCATAAAAGAAGTTGAGCAGTATGCAAATGAAGACCGATCAGTTTTGGAGGACACTTCATATGAGAATATGAAAACATTCATGTTTAAGCCAGGTCATAAATTGGCTATACTTCAGTTAGCAAATGAAGCAAAAAATATATTGAAAGCAAAAGTTGATGGAAGCGTACAATATAACGACTTTTCATTAATTATGAAAACATTCATTGAGACGGCGCAATCAAATAATGATAGGCATCCAAATGGCTTCCGATATAATGACATCAATCGCTACTTTTCCACCTTTATTTATCTTTTTTGCGGTAAATCTTGCTATGAGACCTTAAGTGCTAATTTGCCGATCCCAGGAGTGAATTCTATCCGTAAGTTTAACAAGAAGAATTAACATCAATTTATTCTTCTTCAAATAGTGGAATTTAATTGGTTATTTCATATTGCCAAATCATAGATGGATACATCAGTCAAAATAAGCCCAAAATCATTGAGGGGCAGCTGCGATGTGAAGAGCTGAATGCGTATTTGGATGTTCTCAAACTGACTAAATGCGTTTGGCTCTCTGAAGATGCGAGTGGCATAGTACCCAAAATAGAGTTTGACCCGAAGTCCAATCAAATGGTTGGTTTGGTATTACCAACGGATCCGAGTACAGGAATACCTACAGCTTTCAAGTACTTAGCTCGAAACGCTGAAGAAATTCAGGCAAATATGCAGAGGAAAAAGTCGACATTAGTATACATAGTGTTAGCTCAGCCATTGAAGAAAAATGTGCCACCATTTTTACTACAAATATTTGGCACTGATAATACATTTACTTCGCACGACGTCCTTTTGAGATGGAAACATACGATAAATGAACTCAAAAGGTGAAATCAAAGAAATTTCATATTTGATGCATTTTTATATTCAAAAAATATTTATTAAATTTATAGATTTGGAATCAAAGTAGCTGGTATTTCTGCTGATGGGGATAGGCGTTTGTTAAATTCAATGATATTCAACTCAAAATTCAATTCACAGTCGGACTTCAATCACACTTTTGATAACATCGATTCAATTATTTGTTTTTTACAAGACATAGTCCACATCGGCACGAAGCTACGCAACAGACTGTTAAGTATTTTAGCTGTTTTGCTGATTGGAAATAAAATTGCAACGGTATCGCATCTGAAAATACTGATCAATTTGGTGTCCAAAGATCTACATGGTTTGGTTTATTCGGATATCTGTCCTGATGATAAACAGAACTATAACTCATTGCACAAAATCATGGAACCAAGAGTTCGTGCTGCCCTGGAAGAATATGTTATTGGTTCAGAAGGTACAATCGAGTATATTCGCATTTGCCAAGAAATAACATCCAGCCTTTATAATGATGATCTATCGCCATTGGATAGAATTTTCCTAATTTGGCGCTCTACATTTTTTCTGCGTGCCTGCCGACTATTCATAACACAGGCCGCAGATAAAAAAATAACGCTCAATGAAAATTTCATAACTTCGAATGCGTTCATGTGCATTGAACTAAATGCCAAAAATCTAATAATACTCGTCAAGCACTTTCGAAATGAGGGCATGGAAAAGTATTTCATTCCAACTATTTTCAATTCTCAACCATGCGAGGAAACATTCCGAAAGATGAGATCAATGGGTACAGTTAATTTTACTAAAATTAATTTTACTTTATTGGAGTTGTTTCATTTAGTTGGCCGTGTCGAGTTATTAAATGACATTATGTACTTCAAGTTAGCTGATGTCGACGTTTTTTTCCCAAGAGACCCGCTAAAGAATGCAACGGAAAATAGATTCGACCTTCCATCAGATCTTGAAATCGAAAAAACCATTGCTAAAGCCTTAGTTGCTGCAGTGGATGACGCCAAGAAATTCGGCATGGATATAAGTCGCGATGATATCAGAAATTGTCCACTTGTCTTCGATCCATTGATTGAAAAAAACGACAATCAAAGTACAGATAATGCGTTTATTGATTTGGGTATCACTCGTGATGACAAGCCGATGGGACATGAAAACCTAAAAGAATATCACTCGGATGTAAACGAAACGCCAGATGAGGATAGTCGGTTTGTAAATGTTAACACAAAAAAAGGGAAAAAAAACGTTTTGAAATCAACTCTTATGTGGTCACTATCTAATTCGAAAGAGAAATTGAGTTCTGATCGTTTAGCGCGTGTTCGTGGCGTTTCAAAAAAAACCACACATCGTCAGCTCGAATTTGTAGATGTTTCCATGGTTGATCTGCCCATACATAAGGCAAACCAAATTAAAATTGGTGATTGGTGCGTTATGCGAAATATATTAGATGAAAATGAAACTGGATGTCTAGTAGGTAACATCATATCCATCAGATACGTAGATGGTAAAACAAATGTAGAAAAGAAGTATTCGTGGGATTTCGCACCGGTTGGAAAAAACCAATCGCACGAAGGAAGTTTGATTCAGGGAAAATCGAATGAGAAAAAGGATGTCGAAATTTTAGCGTCGTGGTACCAAATGGAATTGGAAAACCCAACATCTCAAACGTTGAAATTCTTCCGAAATACATTCATTCATATGCAACACTATGTTGCAAATATATCACTCGAAGTAATCGAAAAGCATCCAAACAACACAATTTACCTGTCAAGAAAATACTTAAAGTCCATTAAAAATATTTTACTAAATTTCCTTGAAAATACTGATATATAGAATATTTTGATTTTATTTGCCTTCTTTTGTTAAAGAAATAAATAATAAAACATTTTGTAAAAAATCTAAAATCTTTCTTTAAATATCGGTTTTTTCTTTCATATTTGAACCAAGTAACGACTATCTATATTTCAGTTCTTCATTTTTTCTTTGATTTTAGCGAAACAGTTTCGAACTAAATTTAATGACTTCTCGAAAAAAAAATGGTTGAATAGTAAATATCACTCTTTAGGTTTGATTTTGTTTGATTAACGATACTTGAATATTCGTATATAAATCAGTGCTACATATATAAGCGTATTAATTTTAATTTGGTTTCACTTTGAAGAAATAAAAAAAATAGTAAGAGAGGTAATTGGTCTTAAAAACTACTGAAAAGTAAACTTTGTTTTGAAGACGTAATTGAGATTTAAAAATATAAAATGATTAGATCCAAAGTTTCAACATGACTTCGCAGAACATAAAAATTAAACTGAGAAAAAAAATGGAAAAATAGTAACGAAATGAATATGAAGATGACTCGAGGCCTCAGGCTTCAATTTGTATCTGTGTCAGCGTTATTTCCTTCAGTTGTTTGGTCCAACATCACGACATTTTTGATGATACCGCCAGCTTGACATAATTCGTCTTTGTATTTTTCGATGGCCTCAATGCGATTTTGTTGTGTGCCGCAACGAATCGTAAAACAAGCTATGATAATTCAAAAAAAATTGCATTTTAGTAATGAAAAATAGAATATAAATGAACCATAATATCAAGTTGATTAATGAAAATATGCAATCACCTTTAAGAAAATCCATTGTTTCACGATTGACGTTGCATGCAGCCAGTTGTTCTTTGCCGACCAATGACAAAAGCCAAGTAAAGCATGCTTTTCGATCGTATTGGATGTCAGATCGTTTTGCTGGTTCATTCCATCCAATTAGTTTTTCAACGGCTTTTTCTGGTACCAAAATCATTTTTCCGCCAATTTTGTATACACGACCCAACTTGACCTTTTCTTTCTGTTTGTATTCATACTAAAAATACGAATGAAAAATTTATTTAGTAAATATTCATTACCAAAAACATTTTCGTTTGAAATACTCACTTCGATATTAAATGGCTCATCACCGGAAATTGCATCCTTTTCGCGCTTTACTATGTTTTCACCGGTCGTTGCGAATGGTCTAGGCACACCAGCTTCTGAAACTACCATTACTTCATCATCACTAAGATCGACCACTTCTGCCTCATCTAGCAATTCGTCCATCTCTGAGCTATTGCGAGCGTGCATTTCGTACAATGGCACACTTTCCGTCTTAACTTGAATTTCGTTCTCACCGGTTCCCAAAGGATCTTCGTTGACATTTCCATTTGTGGTTTCGTTAGTTAAAGGCTCATTACGAAAAATCAATGCTTCTTGGGTGGCGTTTGAAATTGATGCGTCTTGTTCATTTCCGATGCTGGAAATGTTATTT